GGATGGCTAGAAAATATACTACACCAAAAATAGCTGAAGGCGCCTACAAAAATACTCTCCCTTCAAACGTGCGCATTTGCCTTGAGGAGTTTTTCCTAGGATATACTGCAATAGATCCCAGCACAAATTGCCCTAGAATTACATGGAGTTCTGCCTTCAGCTATGACACTGGGACATCATAACAACGCGACCGGATCGACGTCGCACCCCACATAGCTCAAATAGCGTTTGAAGACAAACAGTACAGTCACTTCCGTGGATCGTGGTCCTCGCCTTGTAGATGAATGAATGACACGCTGCGTAAGATGGCAAAAATGATCTAAACGCAAAAGTGCACTGGAACATTGCCTGAAGGTGACGTTGGGTGCCTTCGAGATAGTTCCATCGGATGGTAATTACACAGTTCCATCGGATGTAGTTGCGCACCAGGGTGGCCGTCAGTCGCTCATCGAGCGGCTGCACATCGTCAGCTTACGCAACACCCACAGCTTAGGCTCTATTTATCTGGTCACTTCTGCTCCTTCTCTACCTCTGAAAACGTATTACGCTGCGAAATCCTGATTGACGCAGGTGCTGCACCTTGAGCGTTGTGCGTCGGTCCGGGATCCCTTCAACTTCATCTCTGCGCGCCAAAGTAGGTAGCCACTCCTTGTTGTCCGAACTCCATACCACGCGAGCTGTATTATCGTGGCATCACGTCTGTTGTGGTCCGCTCCAATCCTCTGCGTACTGCTGATGTTGTCCCACACCCGACCTGATTCCTGAAGAGGAATTGTCTAGTGGTAATGGGGCGCCGTTACTGCCACAAGGTCGATCGGGCTCGCCCAACATAGATGGTCGACTGGATGCCGAGCAATCGTAACCATTGTCTCAATCATTGAACTTGATGCTCTGAAGAAGATGCCTTAAAGCTGTGGGGACCAAAAAATGGATCGAGGACTCCGGACCTTGCACACGCACCACTCCATATATGCGGCTTGGGCAAGCTTACACTAATCCACTGACTGACGTAGATTTATAGAATTCCAGTCAGGACATCCTTTAGAGAATGTTCTGTGTATCGTAAACAGAACATTCTCTCCAAATACTCCTTCAAATAATCACTCCTTCAAATAATCAAAACGTTGGTTTTGCAACTTTTTCTGTATATGTTAAGTTACCGAGTGTTACATCACCTACTGGGATGCGAATAGCTTGTACTAAGGAGCACATTGAGAATGCTGTTCCAACTTTTGATTGGCTGCATGTGTGTTTCTTACGTGAGGATGTGATTACGTCCTGCCCACTAATCAGGCCGAAATCCAGGAAGGCTAAATCTTCAAAGGACATGAAGCGCTCGGGATTGCTCTTACTTTGTACCTACATAGACCGATACGTCAGCAGGGTCACAGCCAACCAGGCTCACTTTCTCTGAAGGGTCGCCTTCAGTGAAATCGATCTGTAGCATCCAGATGAAGATTAACGCTCCTTGCTCACCAGCAAAGATTAAAATGCATAAAATTAGGTAGCCTGGCTTCTTGTATGTCTATATTCCTTGATACTTGAGTGAAGGGGCTCTTTTGAACTGGCACAAATAGTTTGTCGTACTTGTAGAAACCCAAGTACAAATAACATGAAACGATGCAACTACGTACAGTCGTCATCCTTGCACTTGATAGGGGCGTGTCGGCGAGAAGGAGCGTGCACACTGTTTGAAGCCTTCTCAGCCTTTTCGTTGAAACGCGTATGCGACAAAAAGTGATAGAAAACGAGTAACACGAAGGATATAATACAGTAATGTCACTTCCTGGTTCAACGATTGGTGCAGTACGGGTGCGGGCGACCGCGCCGCACGCAGCCGCACTGACATTGACTATCAAGTGCAAGGATGACGACTGTATATTGGGGCGATTCACGCCTTCTATGCAAGATTATGTCCCTTCGGACTGAACCACAGAAAAAGTTATTCCAATACCACAATCTTTTCCTCTCCCTCTCTGTTTCCAGTATCACCGCCTCCTTTCAAGTTCTTACAATAACCTTTCTCTGGACGGATTACTTGCTCCGTACTAATAGCTGAAATAATCAACTCGTTCAAACAGTTCGCATAAAGGGTTCATGATAATGCATGCCTGTCCACAGATGGGGCAGACTGACCCTGTCTGAACTTGTCAGCTAATAACCAGATGCCAGTTAGGTCCATTTGTTCGTTTCGTACCTGTTTCTAGGGCGGGCCGGTGGGGATCAAAACCGAAACGAAAGCCGGAATGGGGAGAAACCTCCCAGCCGGCGGGGTCAGCATGAACGCTACGCGACACGCTTCGCGTAGCTCCCGTTCCCATGCTGACCCGCCGCCAACGTCCCGTCGTCGGGACTCGCCTTGGCGGCGATGGTTGCGTGAATACAAAACTCCATTTTCATCTCCGATACTCTACGACGAAACCTCCGTTTTGTCTTTCAACTGGCAACCAACACACGGAAAGTTTGAAGCTCGGAGGGGGTCAGACAACGGGGAAGACGTAGAATTTCTGCAGGCCAGATCGGCGGCGCACTGCAAGATAACCATAGGGAGAATGCCTATCTTCACAGTCAAGACCATCTTTGTGAGCGGGGCGTTTCTGCGCCCGAAGAAAGCGCGAAAAATTACATATGAATTCTCGCCTATGAGTTCAGTCTGATCGAAGAGGATTCCTTTTGAATTGTGTTCTAACGATATCTCCACCTTTTCTTTTTACCTTACCATCTTTTTCTTTGCAGATTGCAAACACTTTACACTGAAACAACAGGTGCTGCCTCACCTGCCTAGGGTTATGGAATAAGTCCTTATTTTGTAATGCAGACAGCTCTTGGCTAACCAAATCCCAAAAAAATCGTTTTGGGACCCAAATCCTTTGGATCTGGGTCCCAAAACGTGCTCTTCACACTTCGCACAATAGTCCAGTAGTTGCAATTACGGCTGTAGATGACATGAATTGCGAAAAACTGATATCTAGGAGCTTCACTGCCTGTCACTTTATACATTAGTACCGCGCGACCGCATAAACGTGAGGTAGTACAGTTAATGCACGACAGAATGATCTGAAACTGAATAACTACTGTTCACATAGCTGTGGAACTTGGCTGTCACGGCCGTTTTCACCACTACTTATCATTGCGGTCGTATACAAAACTCATAGATTTGGGCCATGCTAACGCCGGATAACCCACTCTGGTTCTTCGCACACATGTGCGGTATTGGCCCTCGCGGCCAATCTTACGACTACTCCTCATGGTAGACGTATACAAAAAATGTTAGTTCTCAGCTGTGGTAACTCCCCACCCGAGTACCTCGCATATCTGTGCGGGATTTTCCCTTACAGCGCTTTTATCTTAACGGACAACCCACTCGGGTTCTTCGCATACCTGTGCGGGAATTGGTCGTCCCGGCCGTTTTTACGACAACTTGTATACGACTACTATCGAAGTAGACGTATAGGAAACTCAAATGTCTCGGTTTTGGTGACGCAGGCTAACCCACGCGGATTCTTCGCATAGCTGTGCGGAATCGGGCCCTCGCGGATCTTAACCTTATCTCACTACTTACCAAATTGAATTTATACACCGTTCATTATCAAAACTCAGTTTTCGACTCTGATAACGCCTTATAACCCAAACGAGTTCCTCGCATAGCTGTGGAATTGGCCCTCGGGCCCTTGAACTCATTTCACTAATCAAAATGAATCTGCAAACCGTTCATATAAAAACTCATAGTTTTCAGCTCTAGTAACGCCTTATAACCCAGACGGGTGCCTCGCATAGCTGTGCGGAATTGGCCCTCGCGGCCCTTGAACTCAACCCACTACTTATCAGAATGAATTTACAACATATAAAAACTCATAGTTTTCGGCTCTAGTAACGCCTTATAACCCAAACGAGTTCCTCGCATAGCTGTGCGGAGTTGGCCCTCGCGGCCCTTGACCTCATATCACCACTTATCAGAATGAATTTACAAACCGTCCATGTAAAAACTCAGTTTTCGGCTACGCCTTATAACCCAAACGACCTCGCATAGCTGTGCGGAATTGGCCCTCGCGTCCCTCAGACTCATTCCACTACTTTTCAGAATGAATTTACAACATATAAAAACTCATAGTTTTCGGCTCTAGTAACGCCTTATAACCCAAACGAGTTCCTCGCATAGCTGTGCGGAGCTGGCCCTCGCGGCCCTTGACCTCATATCACTACTTATCAGAATGAATTTACAAACCGTTCATGTAAAAACTCATAGTTTCCTTATAACCCAAACGAGTTCCTCGCATAGCTGTGCGGAATTGGCCCTCGCGGCCCTTGAACTCATCCCACTACTTATCAGAGAATTTACAACATATAAAAACTCATAGTTTTCGGCTCTAGTAACGCCTTATAACCCAAACGAGTTCCTCGCATAGCTGTGCGGAGTTGGCCCTCGCGGCCCTTGACCTCATATCACCACTTATCAGAATGAATTTACAAACCGTCCATGTAAAAACTCAGTTTTCGGCTACGCCTTATAACCCAAACGAGTTCCTCGCATAGCTGTGCGGAATTGGCCCTCGCGTCCCTTAGACTCATTCCACTACTTTTCAGAATGAATTTACAACATATAAAAACTCATAGTTTTCGGCTCTAGTAACGCCTTATAACCCAAACGAGTTCCTCGCATAGCTGTGCGGAGTTGGCCCTCGCGGCCCTTGACCTCATATCACTACCAGAATGTATTTATACACCGTTTATCATGAACACTCTCAGTTCTCGACTTGCCCTATAACCCAAACGGGTTTCTCGCATTTCTGTGCGGAAACTAGCTTTCGCGGCTGCCTTTTTTTTATTTTTTTTCCCACCTGCTTATGGAAGTAGACCTAATCAGCACTTGAGTATCCCACGCGGGATCATCGTAAAGTTTTATAGGACAGGCCACGAGAAGCGCTGACACGCGTGTCTCCGTTCAGATCTTAACCTGACCAAACCATCTCAGCGTGGACAACATGAGGACTCACACTTCCCATGACTCTCACCCCAATTATCATATGCCGAAACAGATGGACTGCCATCATTTGCGAATGTCAATAGCGACTAGATATTAGACATAAGTTGCCGCAAAACTTTAGAAAGGAACAGGTCAACCCTCCAGAATGCTGTACGAATAAGGCGGCTAATGTAACACCACTGCTGGAAAATATATCCCGATGGATATGAGGGATTGCGAAATTGGCGAACTGTAACTGTGCCGCAGAATAGTATAACCTGGGATACCGCTGCGACAGTGAGGCATAATCTCGAAGTCATGAACAGTATGACATGTACGGTATTGCGAAATCAACGCTTGAGAACATTGCGACATCAACGGAGCTGCGAATGCTCCCGAACCTGATACGGTTCAAGTCTAATAAATCAAATAATCTTCAGCCAGCAAAGACCGCTTGAATTAGCTAGAATGAGCTGATTGACGGAACCAATTAGAATGGTCAGGCTGGTACGGTACTACAACACCTTGAATGTTACTTTCTGCATCAACTGGGATGGAACTCTTAGACATGAAAAATAGCACTTAACTCCTTACTTACAACGAAATAGGTTGAAAAACATAGTTCAGAGACATATGCTGAACTAATTGCGACACGACTGATCAAAACCGAAACGAAAGCCGGAATGGCGAAACCTCCCAGCCGGCGGGGTCAGCATGAACGCTACGCGACACGCTTCGCGTAGCTCCCGTTCCCCATGCTGACCCGCCGCCAACGTCCCGTCGTCGGGACTCGCCTTGGCGGCGATGGTTGCGTGAAAGACAACACGGAGGTTTCGTCGTAGAGTATAGGAGATGAAAGCGCCAAGTGCCAGAAATGTCGCAATTGTGAAGCTGCAACCAGGTCTCCTCGCACTTGGAGAGAACCGTCCTTGGAATGAGTGCACAGTTGTCTTTAATAAGGGTAAATGGAACGACTCTTGCCTAATTAAGCATCGTGTGGGGGATCCAGTATCAGTCTGCAGGGCCGGAGTGACCGTGTTAGTATCCCTCCACTGCTACATAAGACAGGATTTGGTATGTACTTGACCAGTCCATTCGAGTACATGGTTTCACTTGAAGAAAAACTGATGCGGAGGAAGCGTAGCATATGCTGTGCAAGGAAACCGCAGCGGCTGCCGGGAACAAAGGACGCTACTATAAAGGCTTGAACATATACTTGCGATTGCCATTCTCCATCATGCTGGGACTGAGAAGCTGGGAAGAACTGCGGCACATATTCCGGCTTAGATATCCTTCTGAGGCTACAGGTGAGCGAAAAGATTTTTCTCTCATCTCGAGAATTTCCAAATTAGTAGGATCTTTTCAGAGTTATCGTTTGTTAACAAAGGCCTCTATGCTGGTTTTTGACCCTTTTATTTAGTTCTTCGTTACTCCCCACTATATAGCGTCACTGCGCATTCGAAGCCGAATGACAAATGATTGTGTTTTACGCATTCGAAGTGAACGCTTCACCGAGCAGCCCCGTCAGCATCGGGTGAACCCATCAGAGGAAGGGACGTGGGTGGGTGTAGTGCTTTGTTTGTTTGTTTCTTTCTTTCCGAGAGCACCGTGCTCCACCTCGCTCCTTCCCCTTCCATTACCACCACCATACCTCGACGGCGGTAATGTTCTGGGAAATTTTTTGGCGGTTCGTGGCAGTATCGGGACCCGCCTTTTCGCAGACTTTTTTATCAAATTTCACAAAAATTGCTATGCTAGGAAACCCTCCTCACCGATGGGTCAGCCTAGTATTGTATAACTCACCTAAGTCGTCGATTTTAGCATTCCGGTAGAGAGCATGTGTTAGTCGAAAAAATGTTTCCTGCTTCCTAAAAGCTTATTAACGTAGGGTTCTTAGGCTCTATGAGGAAAACTATCAAGCAGAGCGTACTTGGCGCGTGTTAGGTGTCATCGCCGCGACGGCAAAGAGGCGCGAAGGCACTCCGAAGCCAAGGAGCGGTTATTGCCCTTGGGGGGGGGAAGGGCGGAGAGGGGTGAGAGTGATGAGGAAGCATTTTTGTGATTCCCTGTCAGGATGCTGGAGAATTGTAGTAACATCTAGTTAGTCGCTAGAAGCAGGTAGAGTTCGTCAACATTTGTGCTTATTTTCGTCAGTTTTTTGTACTTGGAAATGACCAGAATATTAAGACGTGAAGAAGAATGTTGAAGCAAGCGTGAAGAAGGATGTTGAAGCTTCCGAGTTTTATACGAGGATCAGCCACTGATTGAAAGGAATCAGCACGGCGATGGGGCAGGCCGTATTACACCTCAGGCTGAGAGATCGCATTTCATCCAATCCAGCGAGGAGTTTCCTTTCCGAAGTCGAAAGTATAGACAGAAGCGGCTGGCAAGCCTAGAAGTCTTTCTGCAGCTCAAGCGTGCAGCCATAGCTTTCGAAAACGTAATGGGGATGCAAGATACATTCCACGGGTACAGGTGAGCCCCGAATCTCATGAGCTTATTACCATAAACAACCGAGCCTTACTACGTACCCCCTCTAAATGATGTACTATCACTCAACCATGTATCATATCATTCGCAGCATTTTCGGTTATGCCGACGAGAACTCATAAAAGTGCTCCACTGGGCTCGCTAATAAGGTATTGCGATGGAATGAAGACTCAAAAATTGGACTTTTCAAGCTTTCTTGAACGACATCATGCGGATCTCGACGAGGTGAACCCAACGATATAGACTTCTATATCGAAAAAGTGAACAGAAACTGAGCCGTAGCAAAAAAAAAAAAACGAAAAAGAAACGCTGAGCATCGTTTTTTGTTTTTTCGAACATCTAGGGCGGGTATGGTGGTATTAGGTTGTCCGGAAAGTTCTCAGCGTTTTGGGTGTTTCACTTTAAACGATCGTAACTTTTTTAATACTCATCGGATTTAATCGAAATAGGCACCATTCGAATCAGCACACTTTTGCCAATGTGACAGCAGTCGAGAAATCCCATCAAAGAAAAAAAAACTGGGTGGTCGAGAATCCACGAAATCGAGGGTCTTTTTTGCCTGGTCCTAATTGATGAAGTATTTTCCAGCAAGGAAGTTCTGAAAATGTTTGAAAAGGTGATAGTCGGTTGGTGAAAGGTCTGGAGAATATGGCGGTTGAGGTAGAACTTCAACCCCCAATTCGTTCAATTTATGGATAGTGATTTGTGAAACGTGTGGGCGGGCGTTGTCATGCAAAAGAATCGGACCCTTTCTTTTGATAAGTGTTGGCTGCATCTGACAAAATTTTCGGTACAATTCGTCGCCCGCACGTAGGGATCTGCTGTGATGGTTCGGCCTGGTGCCGTCTCCTGTTATCATACATGATCCATATTTCATCACAGGTGACAATTCGGTCCAAAAACAGGTCGTTTCTGCTGCGCAAAAGCAATGCAGAAGGAACCTCGAGACGTGCCGATTCCTGCCGGTCACTCCGATTGTGGGGCACCCAATTGTCGAGTTTTTTCACCTTCCCAATGCGTTCCAGACCATCTGCAACAGTGGATTTGCCAACGCCTAGCTCTTCTGCTATCTCTCGAACTGTTTGGGATGGGTCAGCCTCCAAAATCCCCCTAAAATCCTCGTCAGATATTGCTTTAGGTCGACCGCTATGAGGTTCATCTTCAAGGCTGAAATCTCCAGAACGAAATTTGTTGAGCCATTGCCGCACAGTGCTTTCTCTAGCACTATTGGGCCCCCACACCTGGTTAATTTGTTGAGCTGTTTCGATTGCGGATTGCCCCAATTTATAGTCGAAGAAAAAAATCGTCCGAAGTGCTCTTTTCACATGCTTGAAAAAATCTTGAAAAAAGGGGTTTATCAAGCAATGGTGAAACGGCAATTATACCATCAGATAGCGCAAGAAATTCTCTACAGGATGTGCTACTGAGAAGCAAGGCAGAATGAGTTTTTGATCAGCAGTGAATGTACAGTCGTGATCCCTCAGACTGGCCATCCGTAATTGCGTACTTCACTGGGACGCGACGGCGGCTGCAGTAGGAGTGGCGATCGATGCTGCATGATCAGCTGATTTCAGCGATTAATTTTTCTATTTTGCCTGTTATTCTGCTAACTAGACGCCAAAAAGGAAAGGTGAGTTCATAATATTCACTCTAATTTAAGGTTTTATTGTATACTTTGCTTTTAGTCGCTATTTAACTGCAGTAACGATGTTTTTGCCCACTTTTTGATTTTGTTTGGGTTTTTTTTGTACTAATGAGGACACATAACGACACTGCCATGGAGAACAGTCCAACATTCAAAGCACAAACAAAAAACATAAACAAAATCAAAAAGTGGGTAAAAACACCGTCACTGCAGTCAAATAGCGACTGAAAGCAAAATATACAATAAAACCTCAAATTAGAGTAAATAATATGAACTCACTTTTCCTTCTAGTTAGCAGAATAACAGGCAAAATAGAAAAATTAATCGCTGAAATCAGCTGATCATGCAGCATCGATCGCCACTCCTACTGCAGCCGCCGTCGCGTCCCAGTGAAGTACGCAATTACGGATGGCCAGTCTGAGGGATCACGGTACAAAGAATAGGTGCACAAAACGCTGAGAACTTTCCGGACAACCTAATATTAGGGACAGACAAGTTTGTGAACTATCAACGTTACGTTACCATCGATGCCTAGTGATACAGGAGCTGATTCTTGTCCAGTCCTTAACTGTGGCATTGCTGCGATATCGCTCTAAACGCGCCGCCTGTGGGTTTCCTGTCCTCAGGTCCTCATTGGGTTGCCTTTTGTTTGGTGGCTCACGAATGCTATTTTGGCTTCATATACTCGCTACTACACTTGAACTCATGGAGTCACTCACTGAAATGTTTCAGGGAGCGTCATATGTTTCGAAAGATGTACTGGAAGCATATTCTGGTCGGCGACTTTGTTCATGTCTCCAACGAGCAAGAAATCCCTGCGGATGTCTTGTTTCTGAGGTTTGATCGATCACTACAGATGATTATGTTTTGTCAGCTACATGCCCCATTTAGCTGCACTTTTCGCTTTTTGTGAGATCTTCTGGTTTGAACCACTGTCACCTTGTATTGAGGAGTCGAGCAAGTCTTCCAAAGATCAGGTCACCATCTACCCGCGAGCGGTATATCTTGCCGTAAAGGGAGTAAACATGCTTAATAAAGTTACTCTGATCCTTTAGTAACGTTTGGCTCGACAGGATCTTCAAATACAGCATTTTAAACCACCAGTCGGATCGCCCCGCGAAGCCGGGCGATCCTCCTTCCGCATGTGAAGTGGGTATCGCGCTAGAGTTTACCTGTGAGGACCAGTCGAATCGCCTGCGATCCTGCTTTCGCGTGTGAAGTGGTATCGCGCCAGAGTTTACCTGTGAGGGCCAGTCGGAACGCCCGGCTTCGCCGTTTGTAAAAAAAATTTTTCAGAAACTATCGAACTTTACCGTTTCATCTCTAGTATATATAGTTCGAACAGCGATCCGCCCAAAACCATAAATTTGAGGAATGGTAACCAATTGCTAAGGGACACGCTCCGCCTGCTGTAGGTGGGTCCTGGCAGACATCTAGTACATCCAGCGTACATAAGATCTTCTTCACGGAAGTTTGCCCCTTTCTCTAGAGCGCTTCCAAGTGTTTCGGAACCATGATGAATTTCTGGAGCGAGCGCTGCCCCTGTCGCTGTACACCTTCCCCTCCGCGTGTGACTCTGCCTTATTTCAATGGCCGACCCCTTTCTCACCTTCGTCTTTTTTCCAATCCCTTTACTCACCTCTAGGCCTTTGAGGATTTTTGTGCTTGGCCTCGGCGGACCGCCCACTACTTTCCTTATTGCTCCGACAAACAGACAATTTCTGGTTTACATATATAGAGATTATATACAGAGAGATGGTGAGGTGCTCTAGTTGTAAACAGTTGCGAAATTTCGGAAGGACAATTTCGCTTAAGGCTTTGAAAATCTGTTGGAGAGGACGGTATACATGTGCATTTGTTAGTGGTTGTATGTTATTGGGACGATCTTTATAACAGTAAGAATTTCCACTGTGGAGTCAACAGTAAGAATTTCCACTGTGGAGTCAACTCACTGTAAGGATGCCTCGCTCGTTTGAACAGCGAATCCGCCCAAAACCATAAATTTGAGGAATGGTAACCAATTGCTAAGGGACACGCTCCGCCTGCTGTAGGTGGGTCCTGGCAGACATCTAGTACATCCAGCGTACATAAGATCTTCTTCACGGAAGTTTGCCCCTTTCTCTAGAGCGCTTCCAAGTGTTTCGGAACCATGATGAATTTTCTGGAGCGAAC